TCTCTCTGTCTGTCTGTCTGTCTGTCTGTCTGTCTCTCTCTCTCTCTGTCTTTCCCCCTCTTTTTCTATGACAGGAAATGCATTTCTCTAGTTGACATTACTTTGTAGGAACCTGTTTTCACTTTGACATTATTATTATTATTTTTTTTTTTTGTCAAAAAAGCCAAATTATATTGACCATGATTGACCTTTTATATTATAAAACTTTTTATAGACCTGTATCTGTGATCATTTTTCAGGTTGCAGTGCTGGTGGCAGAAGATATTGACAAACACAAAAGCAAGTTGAAGTTCTTCATGGAGAAGTTCTGTGACATCATTAAGACTATGAACTCCACACACAAAGAGTTGTCGATTGCCATACGAGGATATGGATTCTTTGCTGCTGTATGTTTGTGTGATTTAACTGTAGCTGCTAAGACCAAAACTTATGCAACACATTTAGAAATGAATGCACATTAATGAAGTGAATTGTTGTAATCTTTAATTCCATTGATTGTTTTCAAATAGTTTTGTTAAAATTGAAAGCTGAAAGTAATTTTGGCTTCTTAGAAAATATATTGGACAATCTTTAGTTTAGTCTTTGAGGTTCTGTTGTTCATGCTCTTTTTTTATTGCTAGTAATGGATTGAATAAATAAAACAGTCAGCTAACAGATAAATGGTTAAAATGGAAAGCAGAAAGTAATTGAACACATTTGAACATTCTAAAAAACCTGTGTTTTAAGTAGTTGAAATGTTTTTTTTTTTTTTACAAAGTAACACAAAGTAACACATTAAAAAAACAGTACCGAGCACAACACATACATGACATTATAAAAGGATATAGAGTGTTTTACAAGATTGTATTGTGTGAAGTGTGGGTATTTCCAAGTAGTTGAAATTGTTGATGGATAAATGGCTGAAATAACTAAAAGTCGGGGATAAAAAGCCACATCCCACCTAAATATTGACGGTTGAACTACTGACATATTTGAAACAACTGACAATCTAGAAATCTTATCACAAAATGTAAAATTCTTTTTCCCGCTGCAGCCATGCAAGAAGGTTTGCCCACAAGATGTTGACCTGATGTTCACAGAGCTGATTCAGCGCTGCAAGCAGATGTACCTGACCGAGTCTGACGGGGAGGACGACAGCCTGTACCAGCTGCCCAGCTTCCTGGACTCTATAGCCAGCGTCCTGATTCATCTGGACAAGGTGACAAACCAAATGCTGAGTAACAGCAGTGTCCTAAATCAAACTGGCAACTATGAGATGGTTTCTTCTCAATGGATGGCTTGTCAGAATGTCAGCCTTATCTGTATGGGCTGATATGCCTTTTTACCCTGGAGTACCAAGAACAGCCAGGCGCTCCCTGATAGTTCTCTAATCTGAGCTCTTGTCTCCATGGCCTCAGGTCCCAGAGGTGTACACGCCACTCCTGGAACGTCTCCTCGTAGTGCAGATTGACAGTTATCCTCAGTACAGTGAGAGAATGCAGACCACTTGCTGCAGGTCCATCCTTAAGGTGCTGGTGGCCATAGCCTCTAAAGGACCTGTGTTATGGAGCTTCATTAGTTCTGTGGGTATGTTGATCAAGAGCACACTGTACCTGTGTGAAATAAGCAAGATATCTGACACTGAAACACTGCCCTTTAGCAGCCCCTGGTAAGATGGGTGATTCCATATTTTAAAAGAACTATGGAGTTTTATGTTACTACATATAGGCTGTACCTGTGGAAATTTGGTGGATAATAATGACAGAAGAGAAGCTCAGGATCAGAATCAGCTTTACTGGCCAGGTGTGTTGGACACACGAGGAATTTGACTCTGGTACAGTTGCTCTCAATGTGCATGAACATGTCCTAATGTAAGGCAGCAATGGGCAAGTAAACAATGTAAGGCTGAGAGATCAGAAAGGAAAGAGGTACTGTGCAAACAAGCAAAAGGAATGTGCATTAGTAAAAAAAAAAAGTACTAATAAATAGAGACCTGTGTATATACACACAGTCTAGATGCATTTGACGGATCTATATGTACACGGTATATTTACAGGTATTGAACTGAGGGTTATTGACCAGCCATACCGTCGTGGGTTAAGTGTTGATCAGGGTGGGCAGCTGGTTCTGTAGAGTCTTTTTCTATGATTATCCCCACTGGAACACTATCACATTTTGCCCAGTATGATGTTGGCAGCCTCCTGCTTTATGAGGCCTCTATAGTATGTTTTGTTTAATATGCTGTTGTTTTCATTCCAAATAAAGGATGAGATTTGAGTGTTCAGATTTTTGTATAATTTTTTCTTAGAAAGATTGCCACTGAAATAAGCATAAGAATCTTGGGGACAGTATCTGATTTTGACAGTGAGCGATTTATAAATGAGCACAAGGAGAGAGATGGCTCTTTACATTTGCTAAAACATTCATGTTTGTTTCTTTTTCAGTGCACCAGGGTTTGATCCGAGTGTGTTCAAAACCCATACTTTCAGAGGTCGGAGGCTTTTTTTTTACAATTTGTTTTCACAATGGAATTCATACAAAAGCATATTATATTTGCACTAAAATTTAGTCTTGTTTTACTGTGATGTGTTTGACAAAAGAACTCTGCATGTACATGTCCTCATTTTCTCAGGACAAAGACGGTGGAAATGGTCCTTCTCAGTCTTCCCAAGTTCGTGCTGGAAAATGGAAAGTTCCATCTAGTCAGAACTACCTCGATCTGTTTAAAGAGCTTTTAGACTGCGATCACTTGAAGGTACAGCTGTTATTTGTAAAGTTTCGCTGACACTTTGGGAAACAGAAGTTGCATATGAAATTTTAGCAGATTTGTTTGGAATATTCACTTTTGTTATTTACATGGATACTATTCATTTAGCTATTTCTTTGTTTACCTTAACATTCATTTGGCAGAGTGGCCCGGCCTGCCAACGCAACCTCGATACACCTCAAAAAGAAAGGCACAAAACAAGCACACCTTGTATAGAGTTCACTGTCCTGCGCTGTGACTGAGGGTGTGGCTTATTCATGCTTACAGCAGAGGCGAGGATCAAATTTGATTGACGGTACCCCGAGCCGGAGACGTGTGCCCAGTGCCAGATCAAAGGCTTTGATTCAAAGCTGACATTAGCTTTGAGCACAGAAGGAAAACCAGGCAAAAATAGTGGCTTTTTGGAGTCACGTGTCAACTTTCAGTGCTGTCACCAAACTACTGCCCCACTACTGAACCTGAGGCTGGAAGCAACGGCCAGGATGTTTTTAGCTCCTCCACTGCAGAGGGGAGAGAAGCTAGCCCCGCCCCGTCCACTGCCACAGTTCCACAGTAGATGGTCTTATACTTGCATAGTGCTTTTGTATGCAAGTAAGCACACTCAAAGTGCTTTACACTATTTTCCATTTACCCACAAGCATTGCGCACACACTGATGGCACAGCCACCAGGAACATCTTGGGGTTCAGTGTCTTATCCAAAGGCACTTCAGCATGTGGACTGGAGAAGCCAGGATTCGACACCAAGCCTTCAGTTAGAAGACAGTCTGCTCTCAGCCACCCCTAAAAGACACCAGCACCTCATTTTTCCAGTGTCACCATGTCTGACTAGACATTGCACTGGTGGAAGGAAATTACCAAAGTGTTTGCATTTTATATTGGTAAAGACATGGTACCCATTTACATGGTTGAAAAGCCTGGGTTTATTAGGATGTTGAACACAAAGGTACGTCCACAGATATTTTATGGAGGTAGCGTTGCTCTGTTTGTAAAGTGAAGCACTGGAGGAAATTGTGGGGCAGCAAGAGAAGGTGGTGTTTTACTCCACAACATTTCTGAATGATGCAGCCTTCACTGGCCTGACTTTGTTTTATTGAAAAGGACTGACTGCTGAACAGCATCTGTTTCAAGACATCTGCTTGCCTGATGATCACAAAGGCTTAAAGACTCATTGGTGTCCTGGAGGCTGGGAGCAGAGGGAATGGTGTGCACGACGACTGACAGCAGAACAATGATTAATAGCTTTATTTGGCCAAGTATGTTATACACACAAGGAGTTTGTCTCCGGTACAGAACTGATGCAGCCTTCTGCGGCACCAACACACACTGATGGCAGCCCTGTCCCCATTGGAGTTCTATGTCTTGCCCAAGGACACTTCAATATGTGGAATGGAGGCACCGTGATTTGAACCTCCAACTTTCTGGTTGGGAGACGACCCTCTGAGCCACAGTTGCTGGTCTCATTATTAGTGGTCTCATTTACCAGAGTATGCAAACAAGTGAGAATAAATGAGAATAAGACAATATATTCTTATTAGCCCCGATCCAGCCGCAGTGTTATCCAGTTTAGGTGCCTCTGCCCCCTCATTTACAGACATGGTGAGAAATCTTGGAGTAATATTTGATAACGGCTTTACTTTCGATTAGCAGATTAGGGCCGTGGTCAAGACCAGTTTTTTCCACCTCCGACTTTTAACGAAGGTGAAGCCTTTCTTATCACGTGGAGATTTAGAAAAAGCAGTCCACGCTTTTATTACTTCACGATTAGACTATTGCAATGCCCTTTATGCTGGTGTTTCCCAATCTGTGCTGCGTAAACTTCAACTGGTACACTGAAAAAACTTAGAAAAAAAAATCAACTGGACTAGATTTCTAGGTCGAAGACGTTTCACCTCTCATCCAAGAGGCTTCATCAGTTCTGACTGACTGGTGTTGAGCCAGAGATATTTATTTATATTTATTATTATATAAGTCTTATAAGTATGGCGATGCAGCCATAATTGATATTCTAGACATGGCGTCACTCGTAGATCCCTAATTCCTAACAACTTGCAGAAGACATGAGAAAGTTGATAGACTAAAGGTGAAAACTATTAGAGCTGCTATCACTGTTGGCACAAACGCATGGCCCAACACAGGAGGGCCAACTCCAGTGGACCAGAATCAGCACTCCACCTCCACCTGAAGGACAAAGGACAAGGAAGCTATTTTTGTTCAAATAGAACACCCCTCACTAAATAGGGGTGGTGGACTAAGACACAACTTGTCACCCATCTACAACACTGTTTTGAGATCTCTGCCCAAACACGCCCACCAGGACAATATGCGTTGGTCCACAGGTGAGGGTTCAAAGACAGGTAACGACGCTCACCGATACTGGGCTATAATGACTCAGTCATTAGGGGACATTGTTGGCCTTCAAAGGACTGAAACACCACCGATGGGGATAAATATCTCTAGCTTAACACCAGTCAGGCAGAACTGATGAAACCTCTTGGATGAGAGGTGAAACGTCTTTGACTTAAAAACCTAGTCCTGTTTATTTTTTTCTACGTTTTTTTTCACTTTACTATCACCTGGATGACTGAGAATCTGCACGGACGTTTTGTCCTTGAGTTAAAGTTGTTGAGTTTTAATTTTCTGGCCATGTCACCCCACCCTACTGGTACTGTACTTATGTAGTAAATTATGTGCCACCTGCTGTACATTATGCAAGTTATATTTGCATGCCGCAGCATTCCCCTCCTTCATTAGTACTATGTATGCTGCTGAGGGTACTTATTTTTGTGTTTGCAATGTAACAATTGAAAAACAGACCCAAAGGAAATAAATGTCTTACATGAATGACCTTTAAACAAGCAGTACATTGAATTTTGTGTCTTTGGTTCTTTGCAGGATTCTGGATTTTTGGATGGAGCATTTGAAAGTCAGAACGCTGCTCTTGTGTCTTTGAGTCGACTTCTTTATGATGAGCTGATGAAATCAGTTATCCGTGTTCTGGACAAATTGGACTTGTCTGTGCAGAAATTGACAACAGGAGAGGAGGTGAGGACTCACTCTCAGGTCCCACTTTGATTATGGTCACTGACACAGGACAAACCCAGCTTAGATGTCCTGCACAGCATCTGATGGGCTAGTGCATGCGATCTTATGAAATTTTTTTTTTAAATGGTTGGTAATAGCATTCCTTTGGATGGCATAAAATTGTAAGGTGTTGTGTACCTGCTATTGGCGGGTCCTTTATTAGTTCAAACATAATTCGGCTGCTCTTTCTGTCTGTCTATGGTGCTGCCGTCCTTACCTCTCAGAACCCAGATGATGCAGCCCATGTCCTGCCCTCTTCTGACCCCACAGCTCATCTGGTGCCCAATAAGGTCAAAGACTTCACAGCCTTTATCAACCTCGTGGACTTCTGCAGGTGATGGGGGCACAGCATAAACACTTTTCTCACATGTGCAATGCTCAAAGGACAAACTTTTATTAAGGACCTGGAACAGTAGCTCAGATCTCCAGGTTGACTTGATTTCATGTTCACCTTAGTTTTTCACTTTCTGCACCAGTGTCCACCGAGGAGTTCAGTCAACCAAGCAGGACACTTGCAGACACCCTGAATGCTGTGTTTAAATTATTGAACATTGTCTTCGTTTTTCCTACCCTGCAGCAAGCTGTTGCAGACTAAACACACGGAGTATTTTGAGACGTGGATGTATCCCTTAAGCAAGGAATTTATCCTTCACTCCATACAAAATCCACTGGTCAGTGGCTTTTACAAACTGCTCTCTGTCAACATGAAAATTGCCAAGAGAATCAAGTACTACCAGGTAATATTGCTACTAGAGCCTTTTCTCTTTCATCCAATTAGTTTTTTTTTGTCCATCACAGTCGTTGTCAGAGCTCTTATAAGATTTTCTGGGCAGGTCACACCTTGTTACAGAAACATGAAGCTGTGTTTTCCACCTAGTCTAACAGATCATTGGCTTTAGGTTGTCTTCAGCTTTTTGTGCAGGTCAGAAGTGCCTGATGTGCCAGTGGCATTACTGTTTCAAGGCTATGATTATGCGGAAACAAAGAATGACTGTTGAGCCTGTCGAACATGACCATAACATAATTACACTCCTTATGTTGAATATATACTATAATAAAATGGTAAAAATCTGCTTCTGAACAGGGAGTTGACCTGAGAAGCTCTGCATCCCCCCAGAGTGACAAAGTGAAAAGTGCTTGTTTTGAACTCTTCTCAAAGTTTGGAAAAGAGGTAGCTTCTTGTTGCAGTGTTTCATGGGAATGTAGTAACTAAAATAGAGCATTAATATGGAATTCACTGTGTAGACCTCAGTGACATGTCACTTCCCACCAGGTGTGTGTGAGAATGAAGCAGTACAAAGATGAGCTGCTGGCATCCTGCTTGACATTTGTCCTCTCCCTGCACCACAGCATTGTGTGTTTGGACATCAAGGCCTACTGCTCAGCTCTCGAGGTGGGATACTTTTATCATGTATTTGAAAGTGAGGTGAAGATAAATACAAGTTAAACTAAAAGCATATAATACAGATATAGATGCAGAAGGTGTTGAGTGTAGTCATTTCCAACCTGGGATACTTGTATCCTGGGGGGTACTTCTGCAGTTGCCAAGTAACTTGATAGAACTGAAATGCCCACATATCAAGCCAGTTACAATACCTAAATGCCACTTGGTGGAAAAAAATGTGTGAAAAATAATAATGCATAAATTAATAGTTAATAATAGATAGCTATAGCTAAAGGCAACAGTTAAACAAATAACTTCTTCTTCTTTCGGCTGTTCCCGTTATGGGTCGCCACAGCGAATCATCTGTTTCCGCCTAACTATCCTCGGCATCCTCTACTCTCACCCCCATTTAGCTTCATGTCCTCTTCATCTCCAACATCCTTCTACCAATATAACCACTATCCCTCCTCTGCACATGTCCAAACCATCTCAATCTGGCCTCTCTGACCTTGTCCCCAAAACAGCCGACCTGAGCTGTCCCTCTGATGTGCTCATTCCTAATCCTGTCCATCCTGGTCACTCCTAAAGAGAACCTCAACATCCTCATCTCTACTACCTCCAAATCTGCCTCTTGTCTTTTCCTCACTGCTAGAGTCTCTAACCCATACAGCATAGCTGGTCTCACTACTGTCTTGTACACCTTTCCTTTGATTCTTGCTGACACTCTTCTGTCACACAACACTCCTGACACCTTTCTCCACCCACTCCAACCTTGACCTCAGCCCCCTGTAACCTCACTGTTCCACTTCCCTCCCTCTTGTTCATACACATGTATTCTGTTTTACCACGACTGGCTTTCATTCCTCTTCTTTCCAGAGCAGACCTCCACCTTTCCAGGTGTTCCTCCACCTGCTCTCGGCTCTCACTACAGATCACAGTGTCATCTGCAAACATCATTGTCCATGGAGATTCCTGTCTGACCTCATCTGTCAACCTGTCCATCACCA